TCTATGATCCCATGATTCTACAAACAGTGGGAGGAAAGTGAAGTTAGAGCAAGGCTAATGGCCTGAGAAAATGCTGAAGGGGAGGAGGGGTTGGAGGTCTCAATGAGGACTGAGAAGGGGTGAGGTATAGGGACAGAGGAAATAATGATACTTTATGTCAGAGTTTTTGATTAGGGAAGAAGAACCCAATGTGGGCCATGCCATTGTGTGGATGAGGTGTGGAAGGAGGAGGTCATCGGACTGGAGGAGGCTGAGGAATTGGGAGGGGAGGGATGCTTTAAGGAAGCATCAACACAAATGTTCTTATATAAGGACATGGGTTGGGGAGCAGAGGAAGAAGGAGAAGAAGAACCAGAGCAACAAACATATAATAAGACCTACTATGTAATATCGTCATGTATTCAGTCCTGGGGATAAAGGGAGAAAAATGAAACAATCCCCCCACCTTTAAAGACTTTACATGATGTCAGGGGAGACAACATGGACCTATAAAACTATATACATAACCAATACAAAATAATGCAGGGTAGCTGGGGAGAAGGGCACTAGGTACTAGCAGTTGGGGGGATCAGGGTGGGAGTCCTGAAGGAAATAAAGCAGATGAAAGGGCAGAGAGGAGTAAGTGCATTCCTGGCGAGGGGTTCAGCCAGGGTGATGGTGAGGAGGCAGGAAGTGGAATGACAAGCTAAGGAACAGTTTGGCTGGACCACAGGGTGTAGGAGGGGGGCTCATTTATAACGAGTCAAGAAAGGTAAATTAATTTGGACTCTCTGTCGCACAATTTAGCAGTTATTTATAGACTATGCTGTGGTATTGTTGGTCATTTCATGAGTTTTAAACCACTCTGTGTCGGTCTTTTTTCTCCAACAGGCTTACGAGACTCTGAAAGGCAAGGCTGGTGTCTTATTCTTTTCTTGTATTTTGCTACAGTGCTAAGCACTCAGCCACTCAGTAAATGATTGATAACAGATATCTCAGAGAAGCTGGGACATCTCCCCTTGGCTATCTGATGCTCAGGGCAAGGAACAGCTCATTTTACTGCATGCATTGGAGCAGAAATACTATCTATTGAGAGAAAGCAAAGATGTCTCCATGGCTGCTCTTCTTATGTCCCTCCCCGCACC